TAGATTTTGGCTACCACAAATCAAACTGCCATGAACATTCATGTGCAAGTTTATATGGACATTTGCTTTCCTTTCTCTTGGAAAAATACTCAGCAGTAGAATTGTCAGATCATATAACAGATTTATGTTCAAGTTTCGAAGGCACTGTCCGACAGTTTCCGATTACACCGTTTTACATTCTCAGCAGCCACATATGAGAGTCCCGGGCGCTCCACAGTCTTTAGTTTTAGACGGTCTAGCAGGTGCATGTGGTTTTAATTTGCATCTTCCTAAAAACTGATGATGCTGTACACGTTCACATGTGCTTCCTTGACACTCATCTACTTTCTCTAGTGAAGCATCTATTCAGAACTTTTGCCTGTTTCTTCTAAAAGTGGGTAACTTATTTTCTTACTGAGATTTGAGAGTTCTTTCTTATGTTCTGGATACAGACCTCTATCGGGTATAGGGTTTGCAAGTATTCCCTCCCAGACTGTGCCTTGTATTTTCATAACGACTAATGTTAAAAGCACATTATATGTACTAACACCCATTCAAACACAGCCGAAGACAGAACTCATTAACTGAAAGATAAGAAATTATCCAGAACACAGTACAGAGACAAAGAAAGTGAAAATATGAAAGAGAAATTGAAAATAAAATGAAAGATACAAGTCTAATCAGAGTTCCCAGAAGAAAAAAAGGCAAGAACATGGAAGGAGAAGCACCTGTAGAGAGAACAGTCGAGAGCCCTCAGTCAGTAAGGGCAACAAGCCCCAACAGGAGAAGTCAGAAGGAGCGCACACCTAGTTCCGCTCAGAATGCAGAACTATTTAATCCTAACTTCATTAACTCTCAAAACGACTAAATGAGAGCGAAGGGATTTTTGACATCAAATAACATAAAACCACAAAGCAGGCTAACAGGAATGGAGACAAAAAAAAAGTTTGGAAGCTGGAGAGAATGGATGAGAAGTAACTGACCTAGTAGGTCTGAGACAAGCCTCAAGATAGAAGAGCTAAAACTGGATAAACAACCCAGTTACACCAAAGAACCTTCAAAAGGCTCAGGAATTGGCAAAACCAAGTAATTCTGGAAAGGTGGACGAAATGTAAGGCACCTAAAATAAAGCAGACTTAGTGAAAGATATTTAAAAAGCAGTTTAAAAAAAAGAAAGAAAGAAAAAAGAAAAAGCAGTAAAGCCCCTCGACCCCCTCCCAGCTCTGGACCCGGGCGCTGCCTCTCCCCTACCTGGACGGAACCTGGAAGTTTATTCTCTAGACAACTGAAATGTTACCTGGCCTGGGAGATGACAGTCCCAGCTGAGTCCTGGGCACCACATGGAAAACAAGGAGGCTACGTGACCACATCACTAATAAATGCTTCCAGACATAAACACTCACATACACAGTCAATGGACTTCACAAAGGTGCCAGGACAATTCAATTGGGAAAGAACAGTCTTTGCACCAAATGGTGCTGGGATGCCTGCATATTTACTTGCAAAGGAATAAATCCCCTACTTCACACCGTACACAAAAATTAACTCAAAATGGACAACAGACCTAAATATAAGAGCTAAAACTATAAAGCTCTCAGAGGAAAACACAGGCGGCGGGGGCAGGATCAATTGGCCTTGGCAACTTACTGGGTGTTCAGCACTGAAGCAGAAACTGACTTGAATTTCAGCCCAACAGGCTGAGAAAACAGGACACCTAAGTAAAGTACCTGCCTTCCTTCCGGGAGTCCGGAGGTGTGGTGCTTGCTGGATGGAAGCCGCTTACTTGAAATAAAAGCCCGGGCACCAGTGCTCTCATGAGCTTCCCTGGCAGTCAGCGCTTCACATGTGTTGTCACGGTTGGTGGCTGGAAGGATTAAGCGCATCCTGTGTGACCTGCTGGGAGAGGCCCTGGGAGGCTTGTGCCAGCTGTGCCGGTCTCCCGGGACTCCACCCCGTGTGCCTCTTGCCCTCACGGCAGTGAGTACAGCCACACGCTGCATCCTGTGAGTCCTCCCAGCAAACCACTGACACCAGGCGTGGTCCCGGAACCCCGACACGACCATACACAACAAGAATATGTTTTCATTCTGCCTTTATGCTGTAAAGTTAAACCAGATCTTCAAAACTCTGTTGGACAAGAAAGTTCCGAATCCTTCTGACAGTGTGCATGTAACCCAGCGGTTCCTGAAGCTGGCAGGGCGACAGAGCCACATGGGGAATTTTCCAGGCCAACCCAGACATACTGAATCATAAATTCTGTCAGTGGGGCCTGGGCCTTTATTTCTTAGACAACCTGACCTCATGACCTGCTATTTGGGGAGGACAGAACTCCCCCAGCCTCCTGCCTCGGCAGCCGCTGATGCGCATGAATCACATCCACTCTGCTTCCTGTCCTTTTGTCCAACCCACACGCCGCTCGAGCTGCTCCTGCCAGCTGTCCCCACAGGCAGAGGGTTCAGTGTGTCATCATTCCACATCCAGGGTTCACACAAAAACATTTTTGGAGAAAGATATTTTTAACATCTTATTAACTTTAAAAATGCATGTAAAAGTGCTTTGTAGACAATAAAGTGTTTTACAAAGGTAATGTATTATTAGGCTTAAAAGGCAGGTGTGCATGCCATAAAATATAGGAACACCTTTGATGTGACGCTTCCAGCACAGAGTTATACCTCTAGACTAGCTCTACCTTCCTCTAATTACAAGCTCACATAAAGGCTCCAAACACATTTTTAATTTTGGTTTTGGGTTTAGTTTTGTTGATCTTGAAATGTAAACATTATCTCCATGTTAACAAGAAACAACTTCATCCTGGAAAAGACCACAGACCCATCACATCAAAAACTCACCGTATTACATCATTGGAATCCTTTCCTTTATCATATACACCCATCTCCACCCTCAACACACAAAGCCTACTCAATATATTTGTTTCATCTTCCCTGAAGTTCAGGTCACAGGAACTCTGAGAACTCAAAAAGATCTTCAAAATTCTGTTGGACAAGTAAGTTCTGAATGCTCCTGACAGAGTTTGCATATAACCCGCAGGTTCCCAAACCTGGCAGGGCAACAGAGTCATGGGCAGTCTTCCAGGCCCACCCTAGACTTGCTGAATCAGAAGTTCTGCCAGTGGGGCCTGGGCCTTTATTTCTTAAGTCTTTCTGAAGCACACAGGCCCGGCAGAAGCCCACAGAGGCTCTGGATGTGGAGTGGACAAGTGCATCAGCAGGCAGGAAGAAGAGAATCTATGGAATGATCTTTAGAAACTGGAGGGTAAGGAAGAAGAATCCACAATTGTGACATTAGGAACAGTTCTCCCTGAGTGGCACAAGGATGAGGACACTGGAACCAAACAGAAGAAAATGTAGTCTAGTATAGCCCTTAGCTCTGCAGCGGATAATACCTGCAAAGTCTGAAATAATAAACACTACGAAATGATTTTCAGCTTGACCAATCTGTAAACAAAGCATGAAAAGCTTAAGCACACTCAGAGGAAAGCACACAAGTCCTATCAGCACCGGGACGTGGAAGCACAGCTGAACGAGCTGGAAGTCAGGAGGGAAGGGCAGACGGAGAAAAAGGGACGGGTGCTGACAGCCTCATCTTAGGAGGAAGGAGGGCCAGGGATATGGTTTAAAGTTGACTGCACAAGGAAATAGAGATTTAAGTATATCATTTAAAGTCAAAATGGTAGCCAACAAAAGAAATAAAATCACAGATCAGTGATACTACGTTGGAAAGCACAGTGGCAAAGTAACCTGCTCAAATTCAGCTAGTTGCAAAATTCTGAAGCCAGTGTCTGAATATGGGCCTCTGTGCTCCAGATCCTTCTGTTTTTTTCCCCCAAACTGGTACATGGCTGGGCCAAGCACTATCCTCGGAAGTAACCTGGCCAAGGCTACGTGCCTAGCTAGTGGCAGAGCCAGAAAGAGAAACTAATTCTCTAGCTTTAAAATTATTCTGAAAAGTTATTACTAAAATTTCCAAAAAAGACCACACTGAAAATTTCTCTCCTTCTTCACTCTTCTCTCATTCACTCATTCTCATTCATTTGTGTTCATTCTTTTCACATGCACCAACATTTCTTAAAACGGACCCTGCACTCAAACTTCCTCACCTATAATCAGTGTTAGGCCTCCTCTCTGACTCTACACCACGTGATAAAGGAAGTTCTCTCCCCTGGAGACAGCTATGAAGACTTCAACCCACTAGCCACCGTGTCTTTCAAAACCTGACAGAAGGACCAAGACATCAACACTGAAGATCCGAAACAAGTCTGCCTGCTCATCTCTGCTTCCTGGGGACAGGTCACTGTCACCAGCACAGAGTACGCAGGTGCTGCTGCAGGACATGCCATGGGCAGCAACACGTAAAGGGCATGGAAGGCCCTGCTCTGTGTGAGACCACTCAGTGCATCGGCCACAGTGCGTACTGGTAAAACCGCTACTGCTCAGTGACTGCCCCTTTATAATTTCATAAAAAGGTTTGAAATATTCAACAGAAATGACAACTTCTCTGGTGAAAATAAAAGAAAACCTCACTAAAATGGAGGCCACAGTGGGGAGCTCTCACACACACACCACCAGACACTGGTGCAGATCCCCAGAGAAAGAGACATACTTTGCACCTCCAGCAGGAAGTAACGCTGCCTTACTGCCAGAGGAAGAACCATTTCCTCCTTTCTGGGCAGCAACTCAGCCAATGAAAAGCCACCACACATCAGACTCCCAATTTCCTCCAATGGACTTTTCATTTACAACAGCCCCTCTTAACTTTCTTCTCCTCTATAAAAGAGTTTCTTCTTGTGTTTGTGGAGTTGCATGTGGCTGGCCATAGCTACATATCCTGAATTGCAATTCTTTGCTGTTCCCAAATAAACCTGTGTTACTGGTAAAATAATTGGTTGTTTTTTTCAGATTAACACCATCCAAAAAATATTTCTTTAGAAGTAAATTATAACCCAAACTCATTAGTACCCATAAAAATTTTTTTTAATTTCAATTTAATTCACTATTACTTACCCCATTTTCAGTGCGTTTTTCTCCAGGTACATTTATTACATTTCTTTGAGTTCTTTGCTCTTGGGTCTGACGGCCACCTAGAGAAAAGAGGGGGCCAAACTTACTAAAAGACATACTAGAAAAACAATATCCTATCATTTCTTAACTTATTTAAATATTTATTGAATACAAGTATAAAATATTAGGCTGAACAACTCAAAAATTAGTATAGCTGAAAAAATGTTTTACAATCAATCTGTATATATAAAGTTGTTTAAATGCAATTTTTTTCTTCTAATATTCTACTTCAGAATCTTGAAATTGATTTATATCAAAAAAGTTTCTAATACTTAAAAATGGTCACAATGGTAAATATTATGTTATGTGTATTTTACCACATTTAATTTTTATTGAAAGTTGAAGTTTTTATATTTTGGAAGAGACTAAAATAGAACTTATAATATCGAGTAATGAAGAAAACTGAGGCACAAAACTGATCTTCAGTAATAGGGTTAAAGCTGAGATGGGACACCATCTCAAGTTGGGCAGTCTTCTGAATTCTCCTTTATTCTATACAATTTTTTCTTTTAAATTTTAAGGGCTTCAAATTTAAAGTGGAAAAATTCCCCTTATGTCCTGTCATATTTTCTAAACAAAAGTGTGCTGCACAATTCTGTGCCAAGTGAATCTGAAGTCATTCAAGTTACTGTCTGTGATGTGCCAAACGCCTGCTCCTGTCTCACACCTCTCTCCAGCTTTTACTCGATGCTGCTATGAGAATTATCATACCGCGAGCCTGCTTTACCACCCAGAATACATAATCTCAAAGGATCATGAAGCCAATGTTTAAAAAATTTTTTTCTTCCATTTATTCCCTATTACTTTGAAAAATTTGAAGAACAATTACATTATAGAAGTACTGCTTCACCTTAAACCATGCATTCTCAAAAAGAGTGAGATTACCCTCAAGGGGGCAAAGACTGACTGTTGGGAGAATTTAAAAATCTTATTCTTTTTATGTATAAAGCAAAGCAACTGACTATATAAACAGATATCAAGTCCATCTGATGGGGGGCAGACAGGGGCAAGTAAGAAGAGAATACTCAAAAAAGGGTCCTGGAGGAGGGGGCGGTGATAATGGAAAAAAGAGGTTAAACAAAAGAGAATGACACAGCATGCAACTGAACACAGTTGTGTAACATACAACAGCCGTTTCATGAAAGCTACCTTCTGAGCAGAAATCACACACACATACACCCCCATCAGTTTACAGGGTAAATTCAATTCTTAGTTACTGTATTTTTAAGAGATAAGGTACTCGAGTTAATTTAATATTCTATAATTGCTGCTTCTTCCAAACAACAAACTATCAAGAAATTAGACTACTACCAAACACACCACACTGGAATTATATCAAGTGCCACTTAATCTTTGAGGGGAAAGAAACTTGATAATTTTGCATTCTGGAGTTAAATAGTCACAAGAGCTAACATTCATTGAGCATCTGTGGTGACCAAGGCCCTCTGAGCACTTCATGAGGACACCTCACACCCTACAGACAAGGAAATGGGTGCATAGGGATGTGAAGTCACTTGCCCGAGGTCCACACTGAGGAAGCAGCACGGCCAGTGCCCAACCCAAGCGGCCTCACCCCAAGCTCCATCACACCAGGTCCGGGATTCTGGTCTCTGCTCTGCACATGACTTTTATCGAGTTACTGCACTCTGAGCTTCCGTTTCCCCAGGTTTACACCTTATAGGCACTGAAGTAAGTGTCCTCCGTGAGCTCCTCTAGCTTCCAAAGGGAGAATTCTGACTCTGAGGTGGGGCAGGTTATATCCGAGGCTCTACAGACAGAAACACTCAAGTGTCATCCCTTTTAAATAATATGTATCGGTGACAACTGCCTTGACCTCAGCTCTGTGGGGAGCAGAGAGGAAACACAAATTTTGGATCTTTAACTCCGGCTGCTCAGAATAGCCACGGGAGGAGGCCAGGGAACAAAGCACCCATGGGAGCCAGCCTATCTGCCCCTCTTCCCTCGAGCTCTGAGTGGGAGAACGTGCCCAGCACAGGCAGAGGGGAGAGCACCACAGCTGGAGGAAGACAGGGCGTGAGAGGGAGCAAATGTGCAAGAAAGAGTGTGGTGGAAGAGAGAAAGACAAGCCAGCGATGTTGAAGAGATGGGTAGGGTCCTGTTAGAAGCACCTCCAAAGCTGAGGGAGGAGCGTTAAATAGGGAAACAGGGACTTCGCTGAGAAGTGATAAAAGTCAGTGTGATGAATCTGGTTCTTCCAAGCCCAACCAACCCTCGGTACCAGCCCAGGTCAGAAAAGAGTATCCTGCCACCACCCGCCTCCCTCATCCTGATCCCCTGTCTAGAAGGCGGCGGCTCTGCATCCCCTTCAAGTCCTACTGGCTCTTCAAGGCCCGCCTCAAGCCCCATCTCCCTGGGAGGCTGTCTCCCTCCTACCACCAGCTCACCGTGCTGCCCTTCCGCTCACCTCGTGCGTACCTGCTGCATCAGCACAACCATGCCCAGCAGCGGCGCAAGACGATGGGGGTCAACTGGAAGGTCAGTGTGGTCCCCTCCCTGAGGGCTCTAGACAGTTCCCTCAAGTATCCCTAACACCTCAAAACTTTGTAAAGTGAGAATCAAATAAGACCTCCCCCCTCCCCTGGACCACCCTGGGACATTAAGGGTTCTGTACACATATTATATTGATAAAAGTAAAATATAAAGCTTTAAATTGAAGTATAACCAGGTAAGGGAAGGTATAAATATTTGGAGAGCTCAAGCAGAGATTTAAAGTAAATTCCCAGCACTAGAACAGCACTTTAACTGCCAGCTATTCTAACCCTCCTTCTCGGGAGGAGTTTGTCCAAAGAGGCAGGACCCTCGTCTAAGGTAGAAGTGGACGAAGAGCTAGACCCGGAGCCTTCGTCTCCTGACTCCAGAAGACCAGCAGCCAGTGGAATGAAAACCCTGGAGCGGTGGTGGGCCATAACAGTATGTACAGCTCTGGGGAGATGATTTTAAAATAGACAGTAGCTCATCCTAGAGACACAATGTCGTTTAATAATACAAATAAAGAGGGGTAACGTGCAATAAAGGAATCTTCTTTTTACAAAAAGACATCCTTTTATTGTTTATTTTTTAAATACCAGAAGTAATTTACAATCACTATTCAGTAAAAAGTTAAGAGTCTCTTTCTTAATTGTACAGCAAATGCTTTCAGGAAAAAGATCCCCTTATTTTGTTTAAATTCTAATTCAAAAACAGGTAATAGATTCCCATGGTTCAAAATTCAAAAGGAACAAAAAGGTATAAATTAAAATATTTTCTTCCCTCCTCCTGCTACCCAGCAGCCTTCCCCTAGGCTAGCAGTGTTACCAGTTTCTTACTTATCCTTCCAAAGATACTTTATACACAACACACACACAAGCCAATACACACACACGTGATGACTCATTCACCTGTTACACAGAAGGCAGCATGCGTCTACACTGTTTTGCACTGTGCGTGTTCAGGTAGCAAGTCCAGGAGATGGCCTGGGACAGGGCACGCAGGACACTGCATGGATGTATGCCAGTCTCTTCGGCCCAACACCCCTAGAGGCATTCAGGGTTGCTCCTACCAGCAGGTCTCCAGGAGTAGCACTGCGTCTACTGTACGTGTGCAGGCACAGCTTTGGGATAAGGTCTCAGAAGTGAGACTGCCGGGTGAGGCTGTGTGCTTTTGCAGGCTTCGTGGGTATTGCCAAACCTCCCTCCACAGAAGCTGCCGGCTGACTCTCCCACGGCGATGTGGGGGGATGCCTGTTTCTCAGTGTCCCTGCCAGTGCTGTGTTATTAAGCGCTCTAATCTTTGCCAGTGTGACAGGTGAAAGACAGAGTCTAGGTGTTCGCCCTGCATTTCTCTTATTAGGAGTGAGGCTGAACATCTTTTCGTGTATCTCTGGGCCGCATATATTCCCTCTTCTGTGAACTACATGTCTGTATATTTTGCCCATTTTCTTTACTGGGTTTTTTTCTTATCATTTTTAGGAACTCATAGAGTATGTAAAGAAAATTAGCCCTTTGCAATATGAGCTCTAAATGCTGTTTCCCAGTTTATAATTTGTCTTTTGACTTTGCTTTAGGGTGGTTAACGCCTTGCAGAGAGCTTTCCTGTCTCTTACTTGTTTTAACTATTCAGTTTTCTTTACTTACCATGGTTTAGAGCTACACTTAGAAAGGTCTTGTTTTCTCTCTCTCCACACGTACCTGTCCCAGAATTTTCATAATCCTTTCATGGCTTTATATATTCTTAAAATCTACATACTTCATTCATGAGGTATTTATCAAAAACAATCCCTCCCAACAGCAAGGATTATCTGACTTAGGGTCCCGAGGAGCAGGCAAGGGCTGGGTGCTCAGAGTGTGAAATAATCATAAGCTGCAGTAACAGGTTAAAACGGTGAGACACCAGCTCTCCCTCTCACCATGGTGTGAGTGAAGGGGGAGGAAATAATTCTATATTTATTCCTACTTTTGTTAAATTAACTTTTATAGTAAAAATTGGCAAATGGAGGGAAAAGCATTTGTCTACCTTGCTCAGTGCTCTCCATTGGGGAATCTTCGTGTCGAAGAAAAAATTTCACTTCTTCCCTTCGTGGCCCCCACTTCTGAAGATGTTCATACATCATATAATCAAAGGGTATTGGACGCTCTAGGACAAAACAAATTAAAAAATCTTACTTTTCCCAGAAACAAACTAAATGACTCCTAGCAAAAGTAAAAAAAAAATACAAATAATTTTAAATAAATGCACACATATACATTAGAATTCAAGGATATTACAAGCACTAAATTTTAACTTTACTGAAGTAAAAACAGGAGTATGAATGGGAAATAATTTACCTAACACAAAGAAGTAAACATAAAAGCAATTTTGCAACATTTTGAAAAAAATGCCCTCTATTGTATTTATCATGAAGCAGTGTTCCTCCCACTCTTTCAAAGAAACACACTAACAAACTGGCTGAACCTTGTCATTCACTAGAATGTTACACATGGCATACAGATATACAAAGGAGTGACAATGCACTTCCGGCCAGTTCAGCTAGCTGACACAGACACCTGTACATGAATATTCATAGCAGCATTATTCACAGTAGCCCCAAAGTGGAAACAACACAAATATCTATTAACTGATGAATGGATAAATGTGGTATATCATACAATGAATATTATTCAGCTAAAAAAAATAGAATTAAGTACTGATGCATGCTATATTATGGATGAATCTTATAAACACGCTAAGTGAAAGAAGCCAGGTACAAACAGTCACGTTGTATGACTCCATTTTATACGAGGGACCCAGACCAATCAAATACGTGGAGCCAGAAAGTAGTCCAGTGGTTGCCATGGGCTGGGAAGGAAGAAATGGGGAGCTACAGAGTTTGGAGATGGTTGCACAACACTGAGAATGTCCCACGGAATTTTCTCTCAATCGGAGGGGAAAAAAAAAAAAGGAAATCTTGAAATGTTCCCAAGGCCACTTGTGCTTGAAAGTGAGAAAGGGTATCAGCAAGTCCCAAAGCTTATAGAAAGCAACCTGACTGGGAAAATCGCAGGACAAAACTGAACAGTATTTTTCCTTTTAACACAATTGTTTTTAAAAATGTGTAAATAAAAAAAATATGAAAACGAATGTGTGTGTACATATGCATGACTGAAACTCCATGCTGTACACCAGAAATTGACACAGCATTGTAAACTGACTATACTTCAATTTTTTAAAAAAATGTGTAAACACAAGTGTATGAGGGGGTGTGAGAGACTTTTCCTGTTCAGTTTGAGACCTTGACATTGAGTCAAGAGAAAGAACTTTTCGAGCTGCAGCCCAATCCTACATTCAAGGTGTGATTTATTGCTCTGCCCTAGATAAGTTCCAGGCTTCAACAAAGAAAATCCGACCATTCACAGAAATGCAACACACACAGTACTGCTGCCATTTCATCTTCCCACATGTGCAGGCAAGCTCTGTCTCACCCAACGCACATCAAGGCAAGGACATAAAGTATCTCATCTCAGTCGAAAATGAAATCTGTGTGTGCTTAGTTTAACTTAGAACTGACTATTTTACAGCTAAAAACAAGCACAAATTCAACACTAAAGAAGTAAAAGTCATTCCATATTTTTGGTTTTGAAAGTAACACTTTTTATGGATACAGGCCTATAAAAATTTTTTTTAAATGTGTATTGTAATTTTATAGCTGTGAGGCCCCTGTTTAAGCCTAATCATGTCCCTCAGTTTTGCAAAAAGTTATCTCTTAGGCCATATTTTTATTTATATTGTGTTAGTTTATGGTGTTAGTAGCTTTAGTGTTAAGTCACTTTACTAATCAACACTGTCAATAAATTTTCATTTTTTTACATTAATTAAAATTTACAGGGGGAGGGTACAGCTCAAGTGGTACAGCGCATGTTTAGCATGCACGAGGTCCGTGTTCAATGCCCAGTACCTCCTCCAAACAGAAATAAATAAATAAACCTAATTACCTCCCCCTCATAAAGCAAAAAAAAAATTTACAAATTTTTACATTAAATAAAATCAATTTACAACCATTATTTAAATCTACCAAATCTGAGCATAACTTTATAAAAATTAAATCCCATTTTGCCTTAAGCCAGTTATTTAGAAGAAATTTATACAACTAAAAAATCTTTTAAGAAAAGGTTAATTTCAAGAAAATCAAGCTAAGCAAGTCCTTAAAAAACTAAAAACAGAATTACCATGTGATCCAGCAATCCCACTCCTGGGCATACACTCTGAAAAGATGAAGACTTATTCCAATATTCACAGCAGCACTAGAATATTTACAACAGCCAAGACATGTAAGCAACCTAAATGTCCATGGACAGATGACTGGATAAAGAAGATGTGGTATGTATATATACAATGGAATACTAGTCAGCCATAAAAAGAATGAAATAATGCCATTTGCAGCAACATGGATGGACACAGAGATTATCTTATTAAATGAAGTCAGACAAAGAAAGACAAGTATCATATGATATCACTTATATGTGGAATCTAAAAAAAAAAAGGTACAAATGAACTTACAAAAAAGAAACAGACTCACAGACGTAGAAAACAAACTTATGGTTACCAAAGGAGAAAGGGTAGAGGGGAATGGAGAGCTAAATTAGGGGTTTGGGATTAACATGTAAACACTACCATATATATAACAGATAAACAACAAGGACCTACTGTACAGCACAGGGAACTGTATTCAATATCCTATAATAACCTATAATGGAAAAGAATCTAAAAAAGCATACATATATGTGTATGTATGCATGTGCATCTATATATCTCTCTATATATCTGAACCACTTTGCTGTACACCTGAAATTAACACACTATAAAACAACTATGCTTTAATTTTTTAAAAAAAAGCAAGCTAAGCTTCACTACTGTTTTTAAATAAGAAAGGTTAACAAAAACATTATTTGTTTTAAAGTGGAAACAAAACTATCCTACATACATCATGTACTATACATATAACTCCTTATATAAGGCAGACATCTACGGTAAGACTTTCAGGCGTTCTTGGATAAGGTGGAAAGAAAATCAAGCAGAAATTCACAAAAGGAAAAACTGAAGGTCCTACCTACACTCCTGATTTGCATTGGAGCTGACACCCTGTGTGAGAAATGGAAACAAAAAGAGTGGGGAAATAAACTAGCCAAATTAACAGACTGTTATGAACTGGGCTGTGTGTGGTCCGTCCCCTCAACTGCCCCCCCCATGTAAATTCATATGTTGAAGTCCTAACCCCTAGTACCTCAGAATGGCTCCTTTTTTGGAGATACAATCTTTAAAGAGGTAGTGAGTTAAAACAAGGTCCTCATGGAGGGCCCTAATCCAGTGTGGCTGGTGTCCTTGTAAGAAGAGATCAGGACACAGACACAGAGGGATGACACGTGAGGACACAGGGAGGGGACAGTCATCTGTAAGCCAAGGAGAGAGGCTTCAGGAGAAACCAACCTTGCTGACACCCTGATCTCGGAGCTCCAGCCTCCAGAACTGTGAAAAGATACATTTCTCTTGTTTAAGCTGCTCAGTCTGGGATACTTTGTTATGGCAGCCTGAGTGAACTAATACACAGATTCACAAAGAAATACACTTCTCAAAGGCACTGACAATTATACTGCAGTACTGTGTTTATGACATATTGATCAGAGGAATGTACCATGAGTTACAGATGCAATCATTTTTATGCAAAGAGTTCTCTGAAACCTGAAAATTACTAACAGTTCTTGTAGGATAAAAAGATTGAGAAAGGCTGTACTTTTCCCCCTTCCTTTCAGTCCATCCACCATCCCCGCTTTGCTGCTCCATTTTGCTCACTGATTAAAGAGTTTACTCAGGACTCAGTATGAGCACAAGGCTGGGCGCTGGGAATATGATGGTGAACAAACAAGTCTCTGCCTTCAGGAATTTCAGTCCAATCAGACAGACATGAAAGCTACTCTATTGTTTTCTTTGCTTATTTTTTTTCATTCAAATATAGCTGATTTACAATGCTGTGTTAGTTTCAGGTGTATAGCAAAGTGATTCAGTTACACACACACAGACACATATTCTTTTTCAGATTGTTTTCCATTACAGATTATTACAAGACACTGAATAGAGTTCCCTGTGCAGTAGGTCCTTATTATTTATCTATTTTACATACAGTAATGTGTATCTGCTAATCCCAAACTCCTAGTCTATCCCTTCTCCCCCAGAAAGCTACTATACATTTTGAGAAATACAATGATAGTATTGGAGCAAAGGGGAGGACACTTAACACCCTTTGAGATTCAAAGAAGGAATGATAGGCAAAGAGCGAACAGAAGCTAACCAAGAAAGGTAGGCGGGCTCTAGGATGGCTCCAGACAATGCACAGAAACCATAGCAAACACAGTACACTGTGACTCTCTGTGCTCTGAGGAGGCTGTTCTCATTCCTGATGGGATAAAGCCATGGGTTATGATGTCCAATGGGCTTGGAGACAAGGACAGTACTGAGTGACTCACATCTCAAGTGGCCCGGGACAATCCAGGGCTACGAAACTCATGCAAAAATATCATTCCCCCTTCCCCTGGCTAATATAAGAGGCAGAGAAGGAATGAGAAGTGATAACAAGGAACAAAGGGCAAGAGCGCTAAGAGGCTGGCAAGGACAGACCATGATACAAGGATCAGGCTCGAACATTAAGCCCCTGAAAAACTACCATTACTTACCTGTCCCCCTCCCATTTCTTCTCAGACTGATAACTGAGGACCTGCCTCTTAATTCTAGTTTAGTAACAGTCTAACATTTATCAAAATCAAGTTTCTCTCAACATGTCCTTAAAGTCGTTACTCTGACTTCTAAGGATAATATTAAAAGCAAAAGACTTTGGAAGAAAATATTTGCAAATCACTTACCAGGTAAAGGGCTTGTGTCTAGAACATATCAAGAACTTTTGCTGGGGGGTATAATGTACAGCATGGTGACTATAGTTAATAATACTGTATTGCGTATTTGAAAGTTGTTAAGAGAGCTAATCTTAAAAGTTCTCATCGCAAGAAAAAAACATTTTGTAACTGTGTATGGCAATGGATGTTAACCAGACTTACTGTGGTGATTGTTTCACAGTAAATACAAATATCAAATCATTACGTGGTAGACCTGAAACTAATTTAATGTCGTACGTCAATTATACCTCAATTAAAGAATCGAAAAAAAAAAGTGTATGAATTCACTGACTATCCCTCAGTGCCCTGTAAACACTCACTGGATGCCCATCTCATCATTACCTCGAACTCACCCAGTGTTCCAGCTGACTGTGCTCTTGCTGACACAGCCCTGTCCACACAGGACCTCTGCTGAATGCTGACTAGAGCCCCTCCTCTGCCAAGCAGGGGGCCTTGCTGTCTGTTCTCCACCCCTGTTCCCCTTTTCTCGGGGGGAACACTGCCTGGGGAGCACAACACAGCACATCCAGATTCTTTTCTTGTCCTTCCTCCACACCACTTCCCTTGCTTAGCATGTCCTGCCCTATCTAAATCCAATGCCTCCTTTACAGTCCAAATTATTCTGTAGTGTTTTCTATATTCAGTAATCATATTACCTATGCTGATCTTCTCCACCCAGCTAGCTGACAAATTCTGAGGTGGAAGAGCCAGTATTAACTCTTCTCAATTTAATAAACAAATCTGTATGAAGGTCCTACTATTTAAAAGGTTTTGTATAAAGGGGAACACAATAATCTTTGGTCTTCATGAAGTTATCATAGGGAAAAGAAAACCAGATGAACAACCTGACATGGAACAAACACTGCAAGGTCTCCGTGGACAGAGGACTTGCTTGGTGAGTAGTGGTACCGAGAGAGACTTCACACGGGAGCTGGATCCACCTCCCAGCTTATTTCAGACGGCTATGGAAAGGGTCAAGTCACATAACATATTATTTTACAAACAGCATTTGTAACATCCTGTCCCCATTACCTCAGATAACAAAGAATCAGAAACTATTTTGCACTCGATAAATATTAGATTTTATGCACTCAGTCATCTTTTTAGAGCCTAATACATACCATTTCCCCTCCACACTTCCGCCAAATGGCAACTGCCTTCTCCAGGTTCTTTGCAAAATTCTACGACATCTCGACATGTTGTCTCTGGTGTTATAGGAACTTCTGTTAAAATCTGTTCATTGTTGCTCAAGAACACGGTTAATATCATCTGTAAGAGAAAGATGAAATTAAAGCTTCAACTTAGGGTCCTTAACATTAAAGAGATTCATCTGTAAATTGAAAGTGATTCTTGCACCTCCCCACTCCCCCACCCCGATTCCACTCACACCCACCCACCAAACTGCATACAGGATTAGGTGATTTGATCCTAAAGTTCACGTAGAAAAGTTAAAATGTAAGACAAATCAGGAAAACGCCAAAAGAGAATAATATTAGAAGGGAACTAGCACTACCAGCTATTATAAAGCCTCAAAACAGTATGGCACCAGCACAAAAATAGAACAATGGGACAGATCATTAAGCCCAGAAACAGAAATGATAAATGCGGGAGGTATGCCAAAACTGAAGGGAAAAGATGAATGATGTCTGAGCAATTAAAATACCCATCTGGGAAAAAAATGGATTCATACTGCATATCATACACAAGCATAAGCTCCCTCCTAAAAGATCAAATACTTAAATATAAATCACAAAACTATAAAAATTCTAGGATAAAACTGAGTAAATTCCTTTCCTTGGCATACAGAGCCTTTTCTAACTATGACTCAAAAACCAGACACTATAAAAAGAGATATATACAAGTAATTAAATTCAAGAATCTTTTTCCTTCCCTTCATCATTTTCTTTTGTTTCTTTTTTTCTTTTTTAAATTGAAGTATAGTCAGTTACAATGTTATGTCAATTTCTGGTGTACAGCATAATGTTTCAGTTATACATATACACACATATATTCCTTTTCAGATTATTTTCCATTATAGATTACTACAAGATACTGAATATAGTTCCTTGTGCTGTATGGTAAGAACTTGTTTACCTATCAAGAATCTTTTACAAAGCAAAAAAAGACAAACTGGGGGAAAATACTGGCAATTCATATTACAAATAAAAAGCTAATCTCCTTACTATATAAAGGGCACCTAAAAATTCATAACAGAAAGATCTAAAGTTCAATTTATTTTTTAAAACTGACTGAAGAAATAACATATCATAGTAATAGAAAAAAGTGGCCCTTAAGTGAAAATCATTATAATGTATTTGAAAAATTAAAAAATAAAAATTGTCCAGCATTATTTTTTTTAAATCTTTAAAAAACCCCTACCACTTTGATCTAAGACCTAAAGAGATCTTATTGGAAGGAATTTTTAAAAAACATTACTCCTAAAGTACAATCTAAACCAAAGCTTTTCTTTAATCAGACAGTATTATAAAGTATTTCATCTTTAATCAAAATCAGAAACAAAACCTGCACTTGTCCCCAAATTTTTCTCTCAAAATCTCAGCTGTCAAGTATTTTAGTTCATTGTTAGAATATGTTTTTCTTAGAAGTGCCCTAAATTCTTACATTTTGAGATTAAACATCTTTATATTTACGGCCAGACCTTGTTACCAAAATTGCTAATTGCTATACGCTGTTTCCTCGCTACCAACTTCCCCTCCCTTCAACCTACCCTTCACTGCGGCCACTTCATCTCCTAAATGTCAACCAAGGGAAGTCCCTCCCTTGTTTGAAACATTCAGGAGCTCTGCATTGCCTAACAGCAGTCCTTCCCAAAACACTTTTTCTGGTTTACAGACAGGAAACAGGTTTCTTTATTGAGCAGAGTCTAACGCTGTAATGTCTGCGTGATCCCTGATTTTTTTCCCCCCAGAGATTCTCACAGGGTTTGGATTCCCACAGAACACCCCCCGAGAAAGCCCGGACTACAGGAGAAACTGCAGGCTCCTAGCACAGCAAACCTGATTCCTCACCACCTCCCAAGCCTTCCAGCCCTAGTACTTTCCCACACCAAGTCCTGCTCCCTCAATTCCAGTCAAGTTCTCTCAGGTAGCTGTCCCTCTGCCACAATGCCCTTCCTGTCTGCCTGTCAACTCCTATTCACCCTTCAAAACTCAGTTCATAACGCTATCACCTTTGCAAAACCTCCCTTCACCACCTCCTCTCACCAGGAAGGCTACACGCTCCTTCCTTTGTGATCCAGTAACTCTTCACACAGATCTTTATTACATCACAGAATTAATATGCCTCCCACCCTCGCTGGGCTCTGTGCTCCTCCCAGTAACTCATTTTTGAATCTTCCATTCCTGTTGCCTAGTCAGTATCTGCAGTATGGCAGGCACACTGAAATCTGGTCGACTCCCTGAATGACACACGAAATAGAAAACCTGCACCATACCGCAGAATTAAGGAAACACTGCACAAGATCGAAGGAAGGTACAGCCAGTTTGTTCAATAAACAAGCATTTTCCCTTCAATTCTTCTAGGATATTATAAACAAATTTCTATTTTACAAGAAATTATTTCTGCTTACTAACCCACAGAGGAATTTTTTTTTTAAATACTTTCCATAAGTGTCTGGAATCTACAGAATTTGGAATGAAATAGGTAATTCTTGGATCCAGTGCAAACAAATCCAGAACTGAGCAGCCTTAATGCTGTAACAGCTTCACCCAAACAACTGGAATATACTTTTATTCCTGTTTACACATACACACTTCTAATGGTAAATATTTTCCCATGTGATTTCATAGCCTATGTATGCTTTTCAAGATCTAATAATATATTTCCCCAAACCACACTTTTTATAAATCAAAATTTCAAACAGTAAAAATATTTTTAAAAAATTATCTTTAAGTGCTATGACTGCAACTCACTAATAATCAGTAGTGCACCTCCTCCCCTCAGTTCTCCAGTCTCTCTCTCCACTTACACCTTGTCCTATCACAACATCCCAGGATCTGCTCTGCACACCACGAGCTAGTGAAGGTTTGCATAACCACCTGCTTCTGGAAGTCAGGCCTCTGGCCAGAACCAGGGTCTCGCATGCTCACACCCACCACGGGCACAGCAGCCCCTGGAGCACCCAAGAAGGCACAACTTGTGCTTGTCTGCTCAGAAAGCAGAGTTCTTTAGGAACCTGCTGTCAGAATGAACAATGGCATGACACTATTTGGGGGCACTTACTGAATTACCAAGACTTTTCAGCTCACGAATAAGTTCAACATGATGGAGGAGAGGCAGAATGGCGAAGTTGTGAGTCTGAACATTTATTCTGAAAAGCTAAAAACTCTCAGATAACTTATCCAAAAGTCACTAAACACTACTTCACTTTTTAAATTCCATTTTATAGTCTCTAAGCCCTATCTTTCTTAATCTTAGCAAAATTCATTTCCCTTAATCTCTCGAACCTAATTTCATTACAATCATGACAGATTTAAAAGCTTTCAAGGGGGGGGGTGGGAATGAACAGATTGGGATTTCAAAATGTAGAACAGATAAACAAGATTATACTTATAGCCCAGGAAATATATGCAAGATCTTGTGGTAGCTCACAGTGGGAAAAAAAATGTGACAATGAATATATGTATGTTCAGGTATAACTGAAAATTTGTGCTCTACACTGGAATTTGACACAACATTGTAAAATGACTATAACTCAATAAAAAATGTTTAAAATTTAATTAATTAATTAATTAATTAAGCTTTCAAGATAAATTAAGCTGACATTGACCTGGATGGTACATATTTCCCTAAAGCATCCCTTAAAATAAGAGCTGAAGAGGCACATGACTGCTGCCATGATTCTAGCAAGGTTTCCTCAGACTAAAAGAAACTGAAGAATCTCCAACACAAATATCATATGTATTAATTCTAGATGAACTTTTAAAAAAATATTCTAACATTGGAAATCATAGTGCACCTTACAAATGGGTATTATTATACTTATTATACTTTTCTTTTTTACTAGTATGTATAAAATAGAGATGCAACCCAATTCTAGGGTTAAAACTTATGGGGACTAAAGAAAACAAAGAAAAAAAGAAGCAGATGTTTATCCTTCCTAAAGTATGTTTAAAAGAAAAGATTTGGTTAACTACAGTTAGAAAAACACACAAAGATTTATACTGTGTGCTGTATCAAGTACAGCATGAGACGATGAGATGCCCTGTACGTGCCCTTCCGCAGATGGTCCCCTCTGCCCGGGCAGGCCACGCTAACAGGCCCTGCCGCTCTGTCCTTCCTTCTCCACCAAGTGCCAACATCCACCTCCTCTTGGAGGTACTTCCTGACACCACTGTCTACGCATCCTGACCCAATGTGAGTCAGAGCCTCTTCTTCTGCTCTCCCATAACTGACTGCCTCTTTCTAGCACAGCATTCTTACACTAAATAATCAATGGTTTTCATGATTACATCCTCTACTGGAACAGTGTTTGTGACTCACAAGAGTGAGTTATGACCCATTACCTGGTATTGAAATCATCTAAGTGTGTCTCAAGCTGCATATATATATTTTTAAAGTTATTTAAAAAAACAGAATAGCCATAAGGCCCCTGAGGGCAGGACCTGTGTTCTAACTCAGTGCCTGAGTGAAATGTAAGTGGTGCTCAGCAAATGAAAGATGGGGCAGGCTAGCAGGCAGACAGCTGCATAACCATATCAAGTCACCTCATCTTCATGCCCAAGAACATCTGAGCTACGTAAAGAAAATCGATTGGAGTCAATCCCTAAGTAAACTACATAGAGTGTTTAAAACATTTACAAATTCAGTATTTTAAGGAGGTTCCTGGTCCAAGGAAATCAAAGCAAAGCACAAATTAGGGATGTATGAGCCCTTAAAAAATGAGAACTATCTACAATATACATATACATCAAATCATCACACTGTACACAGTGTTATGCAACATTATATGTCAATGATACAATGCTGTATGTCCATTGTATATCAACAAAGCTGGAGGGAAAAAGTCACCCATTTAAAAAAAAAAAGGAACAGACGAAAGCAAGGGTTGATGAGGACATAGAGAAACTGAAACTCTCATACATTGGTGGTGCAAATATAAAATGGTATAGCCATTTTGAAAAACTGTTCAGCAGTTTCTTAATATGTTTACTATATGACCCAGTAACTCTATTCCTACCCAAGAGAATAAAAATATATGTCCATACAAAGTCTCATATGCAAATGTTCATAACACCATCACAATATAGCCCAAAAGTGGAAACAACCTA